TATCTTGTCTTCACTGCTTCTCATGCCTGTCACCGTGTGATTGTTCTCTTGCTTCTAACCCAGATGCTGCCGTTGACGTCGAATCTTTATCCCTGTTTCAGAGAAGAGCGGGCCACCTACTGAGCCCAGAGCAAATCCGAGCCAACACAGCAGCCTTTGTTAGAATCACATAACTTGTATAATTCCACCTTACAGTTCCTAAGCATTTAAAAAAAGACCTACTTGGAAGTGAATTCTTAGTGTAGAAGCTCCAGGATCATTTTGATTCTTCTTGGATCCTTTGGAAAAACATTAGGAGCTTTGAGTCAGTGCTTTAAATCAGGGGTTTAGCAAACTAGAGCCCACAGGCCAAATCTGACCTGCCATCTACTTTTGTAAAGTCCGCGAGCTTAAAATGGTATAAACAGCATTCTTACTTCGGTTTTTACCAAACAGTTGGGGGGAGAAAGTTGGCCGACCCATGATGTCGCCCTGAAGATTTGAACTTGTACCTTCTGTACGCCAGAGTTTGCAAATCCAGATGGCTTCAGAAGCCAGACACATAGTGAAAATGGGTGAAATGCCAGGTGCATTTGATCACGGGTTGTAATGGAGTCATGGCCAACCGGATACTGCTTTGCTCCCTCACAGGCACTCAGATTCAACACCTTATAAAGCATTGTGCCGGCCAAACAATGTGTGTGTGCAGGAAGCCTGGATTCTTCTTGGGGACTTAGAATTTGTAGCCCTTTGAGACCACCCACCTCTTTAACCCAGGGAAAAGTCTGCATACAACCTACCTGGGGATACATTTCGGCATGTTCGTTAATAATAGACACATAGTAAGGTATTATCTAAAAAATGATACATGTTTTGTACCTAAGAAAGTATGGAATGGAGAAATCCTACGTAGAGAAGGAACACAATTTAAGGCTGAATGGGACCAGAGATCGTGGGCAGAGGAGGAAAAGAGGGGTCTTGGAGAAGCTGTGGCTGGCCCTTCATCCTACAGCCAAGGGGAAACCAAGTCAGGCCTTTCAGCTCAGGGCTAAAGCCCACAAAAGAACAGTTAACCTTCTTCGCACCGAACAAATCACAGGGCACAGCAACCATCAATTAAAGAATCTTTAAACTTGTCTTTAGTATTAATGAGAGAGTTACCGTCCTCCAGGGGAGGGCGGCGGGGGAAGAACAGGCATGTACTCGTGTTTTATTTCTGGCCTTTACAGGAAAACATACCCAGAGGCAGTGACACAATAAACTCTTCCTTTACTGGAGCAGAGCTGTTAACCCCACAAGTTCCTCCGCCTTCTCCTTATTTATACACCGCTCCCCTCCCCTTCCGGCAACGAGCTAAGCACCTCTAGCTGACAGCCTTGGCTTCCAGTATAAAATTAACTGGATCAAACCGGCTACTGAATACCGCACCTGGTGTGTAAGAGACTTTCTTTGCAGAGACAGGTCAGGCCACCAGAAGTCTCCTGGGCCTCCGAGGGGTTCAAGAGGAGTGGAGTAGAGCCTGCAGGCTATGCGCTTGCCTACTTAGTACACAGGACAGCTCATTGCTTTCAAGAAGGAGCCTCCACTCTACTCCGTGATTAGCCGACATCGCCAAGTGGTGAGTTCTCCATACAGAGGGAGAAAGAGGACAGTGTGGGCATTGCCAACTGGTGATACTCAACCTCGTCCAAGCTTCCTTGAGTTCAGACAGACTGTCATTGAGATACTGGCCCAGGGTCTGGGAGACCTATGGTCTCAACACACCTGCTTTCCCACCTGGCTTTTCTCCCCTTGCCTTCCACAGTTCCATGGAAGAGCCTAAAATGGGCTAAACTTAATCAAGGTAGGAAGGTTAAAAATACAAACTCTGAACCTCCCATGGCTTCCAGCTAAAGTAACTCCATCTCGTAAAACAGATCTAACGGTGTGAGGCCTCCTTTGCCGAACAGAACTCCAAAAATGCCAATTAGGAATCACAGCTTCTTGCAGATGGACAAAATCAGGGCCGCTTCGTGAGGATAAAATAGTGGGTTTTGATCGTAAAAAAGCAACTAGGATTCCAGAGATAAAAGGATAATCTGATATTACAAAATCATATTGATATGATTCCCCCTTTTAACAGACTAATATACCCACCCCCCCACACACATTTTCCCTTGAAAGATGCAAAATAGTGTTTGATAAAACTCAACATCCAGCCCTAATAAAAGCTTTTAGGAAAATAGAAGAAAAATTCCTTAACAGGCTAGAAAAATATAGATCCGAAACCTTTCCCCAGCAAGGTCAATAGTAAAATAAAGGTAGCATTCTATTAAAGTCAAGCTCGAGGCATGAATGGACACTGTCCCCATCGCTATCGCTACTTAATGTTGTTCAGGAAATGCTAGTGAGTGCAATTAGATAACAAAATAAGAAGTAAATCACTGGTAAGTGAAGGTGACAAAAGAATTATCTGCAGTTGATACAACTTCCTATCTGGAAAATTGAAGAGAAATACCTAAAAAAACTAATATAATTTTAAAAAATGCATTCTCAGGTATAAATATACAAAAGAGCAATGGTTTTCTTATATGCTAACCACCGCCAGTCAGGGCGAGCCTAGAGATAAAGGTTCAGGACCTGCATGAAGAAAATCATCAGACCCTGATATAAAAGAAAATGAATAAATGGAACACTTCCCATGTTCTTGGATGGTAAGACTCAGTGGTGTGAATATGGCAATGCTGTACAAATTTGTCTATGAAATTAACACATACCATAGAAATTCTTTTTTCTTGAACTTGACAAAACTATTCTAAAGTGATTTTGGAAGAATAAATACACTTGACTTGCCAAGAAAATTTTGCAAGAGAACAAAAGTGAACACTTGTGAGACCAGTTATTACAATGTATGATTAAAGCTGCAATAATTAAGATAGTGCGAGACCAGCACAGGAAAAGACAACTTGGTGGAACAGAGTCAAGTCTGAAAATAAACCCAAGACTCGATAGGGATGGGGTATTTCAAATTAGTGAAGAAATGAATGTGTAATTCAGTAAATGGAGTAGACATCTGAAAAATTAAATCTGGATCCTCTACCTTATACCATTCCCTTCAATAAATCCCAGAGGAGCTATATACATAAATGTAAGAAATAAAACCACAGAGGCGAGAGAAAATATAGGTGACTGTTTTTAGAATCCTGGAGTGGGGAGAGACTGTCTAAACATGAAACTAAAGGCAAAATCCTATTGGAAGAATAGTTGTGCAACACATAAAAAAATTTTAAACCTCTGCATAGTAAAAATATACGTAAGTGAAAAAATTTAAGAGTCAGACGGTGGGGGTGCCTGGGTGGCTCAGTCGGTTGAGCGACTGCCTTCGGCTCAGGTCATGATCCCAGGGTCCTGGGATGGAGTCCCACATCGGGCTCCCTGCTCTGCGGGGAGCCTGCTTCTCCCTCTCCCACTCCCCCTGCTTGTGTTCCCTCTCTCGCTGTGTCTCTCTCTGTCAAATAAATAAATAAAATCTTAAAAAAAAAAAAAGCGTCAGATGGTGAACTAATAAAGGAAATTGCAGCATAAGACGAAAGGTTAAAATCTGTAATACAAAAAGGACACTTACAAATCAAAATTAATAACCCAATTTAATAAAATTGGGCAAGGATGCAAATAGGTAATTTGTAAAATAAGAAATACTAATGGCCAGTAAATAAATATATGAAAATATATTTAGGGCACCTGGGTGGCTCAGATGGTTGGGCGTCTGCCTTCGGCTCAGGTCATGATCCCAGGGTCCTGGGATCGAGTCCCGCATTGGGCTCTCTGCTCCTTGGGAGCCTGCTTCTCCCTCTGCCTCTCTCTCTCATGAATAAATAAATAAAAATCTTAAAAAAAAAAAAGAAAATATATTTAATCTCACAAGTAATCAAAACAGGCCAATTAAGACACTAATGAAATACATATCAGGCTGGTAAAAATGTTAAAAAGTATGTGCATATGGGGCACCTGCGTGGCTCAGTCGGTTGAGCATCTGACTCTTGATCTCAGGGTCATGAGTTCAAGCCCCCTGTTGGGCTCCATGCCGGGCGTGGAGCCTACTTAAAAAAGAAAGAAGGAAAAAAGTTTGTACATAGATCCATCATTGGTGGAGGCATGAGGAAACAGACCTCTACTGCGTAGGTGGGACTTATAATTGATCAAGGGCTATCTGGCAATATAATCGTCTAGGAATTATTTTTGGTAATAATTAGATAGGAACACAAAACTGTACAGGGATACCAGCATTGTTCATAAAAGCTAAAATTTGGGGGTGCCTGGGTGGCTCAGTCGGTTAAGCGACTGCCTTCGGCTCAGGTCATGATCCTGGAGTCCTGGGATCGAGTCCCGCATCGGGCTCCCTGCTCAGTGGGGAGTCTGCTTCTCCCTCTGATCCTCCCCTCTCTCATGCTCTCTGTCTCATTCTCTCAAATAAATAAATAAAATCTTTAAAAAAAAAAAGCTAAAATTTGGTAACAACTTAACTAACAATAGAGAACCAGTTTGATACATTGTAGTGTATCCATACAGTGGAATAATGTATACTTGTTACAAAGGTACTAGATTGTTACAGAACAAAATGGAAAAATGTTAGCAATATACCACTATGTGAAAAGAGCAGTGTATGATCGACTGTATATGTATGTTATGTGCAACATCTATGGAGAGAAAAAATCCTGGAAGAATATATATAAAATATGAACAGTAGCCATCTACAGGTGGGGGTGGGGATAAAGAGTAATGCTTTCTTTCTGTAATTTTCCTATATTTTCTGATTTTTTTAAAAACAGTTAAGTACAAATTTCTTTTATGAGAAAAAGAGTCTTACACAAAACAAAGGAAACTGATGCATTTGAGTTTAAACTTTTCCACATATGGGCTGATCGTTGATCAAGAATATATTCTAGGAGACGCCTGAGTGGCTCAGTCGGTTAAGCGGCTGCCTTCAGCTCAGGTCATGATCCCAGGGTCCTGGGATCGAGTCCCACATCGGGCTCCTTGCTCGGCGGGGAGCCTGCTTCTCCCTCTGCCTGCCTCTCCCCCTGCTTGTGTTCTGTCTCGCTCTCTCTCTGACAAATAAATAAATAAAATCTTTAAAAAAAAAAAAGAAAAAAGAATATATTCTACGTGGAGAATGGGGGGCCAGGTATTTACTTTCTATTGAGAAATAACACTCTGGTGTCCAAGACCAAAGAAAGGAGTATCATTCTGTTTCCTTCTCAAATTGTTAGAAAGTAAGAAACTTTCAGAACATACTTCATCTCTTTCCTCACTCCTCCTTCACCCCTCCCCTCCTACTTCTTCTGTATGTGAAAGGAAAATGGCCCCTACAAGGACAGACAGGAATCTCCCTTCAGAGTTACATAGGCAGTAATGGCAAGGCTGCCCCACCGAGGGGTGAGTTCACTGGGAAGCAGGGAAGTGCGTGCAGAGGTGCAAAGCCCAGGGTGCAATACAGCGTTCATGGATGAGGCTGGTGGGACACATAGCTACACAGACCGGCCCCGACCCTAGGACTTCAGCATCCCTACCCCGTTGTCCATTATCATTGGTCCTTGTTCCTATAGGAGAGCAACGCTGACCTACAGGTACAGAATGTGAGCCTTTGCTCTCTTCTTTTTCATGTCCATGACCCTCATGGAGCACCATGCACCTGACAAAGGAGGTATGCAGGCCATCCTTGGGAGCAGACAATTCTACACTTCCCTGCGTAAACCGTTCCAGTTAACTATGACCTCAAAAACCAAGAAATCAAAAGTCTCCTGTTTGCCAGAAATATTGCGACCTGCACATGCAGATGCTCTGAAAAAATAAAAACATTTTATCGGCTCTGGAAGAATCATCCTGCCTCAATGTCATCCCCATTATATTGCCACTTGCTCTTGGCCCCTCTCTGAATCCCGTTTGTGATTTGGTTTCTTTTTATATTTTATTTGTTGATACAACAGAGTCAGTTCAGAGTTGAATGTGTGATTTTACTTCCTGGCCCCTGTGTTTATCTGTGGAAGGCAGCTTGTCCCATTCTTTAGGTTCTGAGCGGGGAAGTGGGGGCGTGTCTGTAACATCTGTCACGGAGCACTGGACTAGGAAGCAAGCCTCTCTGAATATTGTTTGTGTGTCCCCGACCTCAGCTGATCTGGGGAGTTAGCTCATGTGCTGGGACCTCAGAAGGAGAGACGGGGGACACCAGATTCTGGACTCTGGGTTCTCAACCTAGCGAGAGAAAAGTCCTGATGTCTCCGTCATATGGCCCCATCGCAGCAACTCTGATTTGGCAGAGGTGGAGTGACCTCTCCACAAGCATACAGCTAGGTCTGGGCTCAGATTAGCTGACTCCCATGCCCACGCTCTTCCTGTCCATCCCAGACTACGCTGCTTCTGCCCAGTTGTTTGTGGGAAAGAGAAATAATAAATGAACTTGCTAAACATTGAGCAGGATATAAATGTTTAATGGCAAAACTATCCTGAGAACATAGATTCTCTGAATCTTTGCATTTTGGGTGACTTTGATAACCATCAAATTAAAACCTGTCAGGCCTGGCAGATAAAGCCAACTCAGAGGGCAGACGACTTGTCCAAGGACACGCTTGGATGAGAACCGGTTTTCAAATGCCTCCTTCAGCTTGGAGCATGAGACAAGATTAGATGTGAAAGAAGAGCAAAGGCCCTAACTCATTGGGGTTATAGCCTCATAGCCTCCTACCACAGGTTTCTCTCATTCTCTTGCTCCCGGGTTCTTCTTCCCAGATGGATTGGCTTCGGGAGGGCATTTACAGTTTAAAACACATTGTGCTGCTGAGCTTTAGAGTTTTAAAAATGGAAAGCAGAGCACGGAAGTCCTTAAACTTGAAGTCTCTTGATTGGCCCGTGCTTCCTACCGAGAGACTGGAGGGGCTGAGTTTAGAGAACACGCGTAGAGGTCCCTAAGAAATGCCCTGCGTTCTGTACTGTCCTGTTAGTAACAGGTGTGGGCAGTGCCAGGGGATGGCCTCCGTTGCCTGGCCTAGAGCCTGCACCAGCCCCTCTGGGTAAGTTCCATTCCCTCCCCCACCCCAGCACACCAGGGCCCCTGACTGACTGAGTCAGGCAGCCACACTGGAGGGGGGTGTCTGAGCATGCCTCGCAGCCTCACCTTTCCAAATGTAGGGTGGGGAAAGGGACTGGGTGCTCCTGAGCCCAGGAGCACACGGCTGGGAGAATGCCCCAGGGGTCCTGAGTCACAGACTGCAAGGTTCTACCACCTGGAGCCACTGTCCAGAGGCCCTCTTGAGCAGAGGATGCCAGCACATGAGGACCGAGACCTAAGCTAGTGCATGACACCCCAGGGGAGACCATCAAGGTCAAAGGATAGTGTGCAACATCAACAGGCTTCCCATGACGCCAAAAAGAAAAGAGGTGGACTTCTTGCCTACCAAATACTAGATCATTCCCAGGAGAAAGAAAGGTAAAGGGAGGGGGAGAGAGAACTCTGATTTTGCAAACATTTACCTAAAGAAGAATACAATTCAATAGAAAAGGGACAGAGAGACCTGAGCAGGACTCAAGATAAAACTTCTCCATCAACAGCCCAAAGTGATGGGGGTGGGGGGCGAGGGGGGAGGAACACAGGGCAATGCTCAAGAACTCAGCTCTGGTTACATTTACATCTTTGCACACCCCAGGCTTGTGGCTGGGAAATTTGTGCCCGATGCACACGGTTGCTTTACAAGGGCCCCTGAGACTTCGGGCCTGCTTTGCAAACACAAGGATCACCTTTCCATTTGCACACTTAGGTACAATTATAGGTAGCATCCGCAGCCCCCACTCTGGAGCAACTGTGATCCAGAGGGCTGATGCCTTTGGCTCGGATCAAGCAACGGGCAAAAGACAAAAGTACAAGAAACGAGACTGCTGTCTGGTTAGAAAAATGCCTGCTCTGCCTGCCAGCCGGGCTGAGGCCCTCACAGTGGCCCAGAGTGACTGGTGATGCTTCTCCAGCACATGGTGTCAGCATTTGCCCTCTGGGCTCAACCTCCTTACACCGCTGGACCCACAGTAAGGTTGTGATGACCACACGCCATGGGGGCCACCGTCAAATAGTTTTTCAAGATTTAATGGGATGAGCCATGGATTCCTATGGGCTGGTGTTTGTCACCAAAGACCACAAAGCTTGACAGGGCTGAGCTGTCCGACCTTCCGCAAGCAGCCCCCCGCCTGGCCCCCCAGCCCTCCTAGGGCAGGCATTCCCGGGCAGAGCTTTGCCATGTGGAAGCCGGCAGGACATCGAGCAGAAATGACTCAGGTTGGAGGGGCAGAGCCCATGTTTCTTTACGCCGGGAACCCCCGCTTCAGAGGGATAATGCTCACTAGACAAGCATTTAGGAGCTGGCCACGGGGACGATTTGTAACACGACCGAGGAAAAGCTGGCTGTTTGGTTGTCATTCTGCTTATTTTCATGAAAACGGCAGTGGTACAAAACTACTGTAGAATTATGGCAGCACAGGAGTTCAAGTCATTTTTATGTGTTTTTGTAAAAGTTATTTTTAAGAGCTAATTTTTGCCTCACAATTTATTAGGGTGTTGTTGTTGGGCATGACGCACACCGAATGGACTCCGGAATCCCAACGGGAACTGTCCTATAAACAGCCCATCTTTGCAAAGATGAGGCCTTTCTCTGTTCACACCCAGGGTGACAAACATTCATGTAAACACAATTCATTTCTCTGGGCATTAAAATGGACAGACAACTGGAATTAAGACCATGCGAATGGTGCTGCTTATCACACTGTTGTTGTTAACCTCATCCCATGAGAGGCTTTGGGTACTGGCTTCTAGAATGTCCACTGAAGAGGTATGAGGTATGAGCCTGAGCACAAGAAATGCATGTTGAAATCATCTATCTTCTGCCAAGACCATTTAGTAAATGCACTGGTGGCTTATCTTTTAGGATGAACTCCAGAGATAGCTCTGAGTCCTTTCTCTTCAAAGAGGAGGGGGGGGATGTCGTCATACTAATCTGTCTCTCATTTTGTCAAACCTCTGCTTTTTGGAACATCTTGTCTATAGTTCTACGTGGGCAGATAGAGGGGGTATCTGCTGGCTTTGCCGGTCTGGCATCCATTGCTTCTTTTGGGTAATAAATAGCACGCCTTGAATTTCCTTGTGGAAATTACCCCTTCCCCACTCTGAGTCTATGTAATTCTCGGGGGGAGAGGTGACCCCAGACCCCAAGCCCAGAGGTTCGATATGACCTAGCCATGCCACAGTGATTGAGTTGTGGGACAGGCACAAACTTCTAATTCAGTTATGAAGACTGAAGCCCGAGACTTTTGCCGGAATCATTAGGAAAGGAGAACTTTCTTTCCTTGCTGAATTGGCAGGCTGGGAGTCGGCCACTGCCGCGGTCACCTTACTACCATCCAGAGACAGCCTGCCCACGAATGAAGCCAAAGCAAAGGACAGCAGAGCCGAGCCAGGGAGAGAGCCAGACACCGAGTCCCCGAATCCAGAGCTACCTCGGATGGGTGGATAATTTGAACCAATAAAGTTCTATTTTTTTACTGAGCCGGTCCAAGTTTGGATTCAGTTGCTTGCAACCAAGAGTCCTGACTAACACAGCTGTGGACCCAGAACTGGTGTCTTTTTCGATGGGAAGGAAGCAGGTTCCGAATAGCTCTTGGAAAATATAGGATAGGTTTGGTCAGAGTCCAAGATTGCTGTAGATATTCTTTTTTTTTTTTTTTTTAAAGATTTTATTTATTTATTTGACAGAGAGATAGCGAGAGCAGGAACACAAGCAGGGGGAGTGGGAGAGCGAGAAGTAGGCTTCTTGCCAAGCAGGGAGCCCGATGCGGGGCTCGATCCCAGGACCCTGGGATCATGACTTGAGCCGAAGGCAGATGCTTAACGACTGAGCCACCCAGGCGCCCTGCTGTAGATATTCTTAACCAAGGTTCATCAAAACCAGCCATGCACCAGAGTTAGAACACAAGAGTAGAGAACAAAGGGCCCGTGGCTTTGTGGCCAAGTCCAGGAGCGGCATGCAAGACAGGGTGTCTTCCCACTGGTGGACCCCAAGGGGTCCAGGTCAACAACAATTCATGCATAACTCCAGGTAGTTAGAAACACACTAGGAAAATTCCAGAGTAACCTTGGACTAAGATAACTGACTCCAAGTTAAATTCCTCCCGTAAAATAAGAGTACTTTCCTATCTCATAGGACTTCCATGAGTTTGTATGTGACAATGTACGTAAACTATTTGGCTTAGAAGTTGGCATGTAATAAATGCTGGATGTTATTGCTATTTCTATTATTATTATCACTACTAATATTAATAATTTTCCATCATTACTATTATTCACAACATTCACAATGCCTGCTTTCAACATCTAGCACAGCCCTCTGCCTGTAACAGTCACTCAATAAATATTCTTTCAAAGAATGAGCTGTTGCTGGACTGCTCCATCATTGTAAACAAAAATTCTAGGAACCTCAAGGGCTTCTGGGCAACACCTATAAATTATTTTTAATTATAATTCTTGGTGTATGGGGACACTGTCCGAAATGCTTTAAACGCCTAATCTGAATTAGTCTCAGAACAACTTCAGTTGAGTCACTGAACTTCATTTTACAGATGGGAACACTGAGGCTCAAAGAGTTTTCACCCTAGGAGAGTGGCAGAGGCGGGACTGGAGCCCCACCGAAGCCCATGCTCTGACTGCTCTTGCTACTGAAACCAAGGCCTCCCCTGGAGATGCCCTGCCTGCGAGCTCCTTAGAGTGGGCTGGCCTCCCCATCACACACTCTTCTGACTGCCTCACCAAAGCTGGTCCCCTGCAAGGGAAAGCTGGGGAAACCTTCTTTTCCCTCCCTTTGAAACAAGATGATCTATAACATTCTTTCCAGTTCTGAAATGTCTGCAAAGCTTTTGTCAGTTACCTGCCCCGCCGGTTCCCACTTTGGTTCCAGTTGACTCTGGGACGCACTCACTTCCAAAACGACAGAGACTCGCCTTGGAAAAATGTTCACACTTTGTTTGATATAAAATACTGCTGCCTGCATTTCAAATCCTTGTCATTAATTTTGCAGGGCTTAAGCTCCTCTCTCTTTATTTTCATCCATGTAAATAATGTCCTCGATTTTTAAAAAGGCTCAATCAGGGATGAATTCCATTCTCCGGTTCAAATTTGTGATCATTCTCCATTTTATTTATAAAAAAAAACAAAAATGCGAACACCCAGTGGCCCCAGGCTTAGCCCGTGAGCTAGCTGGTTCTTGCAGCTCTAGAATCCTTGGATTTCAGATCCAGATGTTCATCCACAGCTCAGGAGTCCAGAGGCTAACATACCTCCGGATGCACCCAGATTCAAAGGGAAGGCTGTGGGTGCACCTTCCTAAACACGGGTTCGGAGCACAAACAGAGATGAATGCCTTGGAAGATCCCACGCATAAAAAATGGATGCACCTCACTCCCTTGGTGGTGGGGGGGGGCATTCTCCATGAATAACAATGTGAGTCCTATTATTTGCTGAGGGGACTGCTTGAGGCCAGGGTAAGACAAATGTTTACTCTTGGCCTTAATGCACCAAAAAGGTATTAAAGTTTCAGGAGGGCTCCAGGAAGGGTGGGGTAGGAAATCTCCCTGCCACTTGGCCTTGGGCTGGTTCACAGTAAGCTGCTCCCATAATAAAAGGGCAGAGGTCCCCGGGATGACTCCACCTCTGCCCTTTTGCTTGGTTAATTTGGTTACTGCGAAGCAGCTCTTTAAACCAGGGTTTTAAAAATGTTAACCACAGATTGGAATTCTCGGGAGACCGTGGGGGTGGGGGGTGGGGAAAGAATTCAGATCAAAGAATGACAAAGAATTCACAATGAGGGAAGGTGTCTATGTGGGCCAAGCTCGGGCCCTTAGCACATCTTCAACAGCCCTTCAGAGTCCGGGGTGCCCTCTTGTGTTGACCTCCTCTACAGGCAAAATGATGGATGTGATGACCCCTCAAGGTCACTTCCAAGCTCCAAATTCTCTTGATACTGACAGCTGCCGCCACCAAGGGCTCAGATCTAGGCCTAGGCCTGTGACTAGCTTCCCAACAAAAAGTGGGGCGGAGCAAAACCCAGAATTGCTCAGAGACCACTGCCGAGGATCCCATTTCTTTCCTTTTAATCATCTGTGGGGTTTTTTTCCCTTCCTGTCGCCCCTCCTTTTTGCGTGTTGCATAGAAACAGAAAGTGCCTTTGTACCAATTACTAGGCACTAATTTACGTTCTTCAGTAGGCGCTGGGCTTGCTGGAGAAACATCAGGATAAGGTGGGAGGGTCGGATGTGGGGGAGGCCTGGAGGGTTGCAAGCTTTTTCTCCCAGCCTGAGAACAGCCAAGGGGAGGAGGAAAAAACAACCCGAAAAATTTGGAAGTCAAGACTAATGAAAACGACAAAGCTGGTTCTGTCTTGTTTGTTTGTTTAAATCAAGAATGCTAGTGACCATAAGGCATTCAGAAATCACATTGATGGCCTAGAAAGCCGACTCTAACCAGCACACACCAGGTTGTTTCAGAGGCTCCTAGAAGAGTGAATACTGGAACCCATCCACCCACTTTTCTTCCTAATGAACTTCTTAAGGAAGACCACTGTCAGCCGCTTTCTCAATAGGTCATATGATAGTTCTTCCTGGAAAGTTCGAGCTGGGAGTTTCCCACAGACATTGCAGAATGACTAGTTCTTGGGATAAGCGTCAACAATTGAGACAAGAATGTAAATCTGACCCTTATGTTCAGAATCCAAGTATTCATTTCCCTCAGGTTACATCTTTGCATCTGAAGGTAATGGGGTGTTGCCATCAAAACAGCTCTACATTGGCTCCGCGACCTCCTCCCCAACCCCAGGCCCCGGTTGTCCCCTCCCCTCTCCTCACCACTCTTCCAAGATCCGAGGGGGAAAGAGGGGAATAATGTTTTCATCCCGTAATTCTACTCTGCGTGTATCTTCTGTCGTGAAACAGCCTTGCCAGCAGCAGAAGATTTTCTAAGGCAACCCCACTTTGTCTCTGCGAGAATAGGGGAAGTGAGGAAGAGGAGCCACGAGTCCTACCTCGGAGACTGGCAACAAAGAGCAGCTGGGTCCCCTGAAAGGCCTAATTCCCCAGGGCTGATCCCAGCAGCCAGCTGGGGCTTGGGCAGCCGGGGCCATCATTCTTCGGAGTAGAGGGGGTTTTAGCCTCTTGTCTGTAACCCAGAAGCACTCCCTTCTTCCATCCTTGTGACCTTAGAAACCTCACATCCTCTACAGCTAGAGGCCATTTGCAGCTCTTTGCCTTCTTCTCGAATGCAGATTGTCATTCCCCCTCCCCCACAAGACACCTTGCATGAGGTGGTGTTTAGACAGTCTCACTGGGGAGTGGGGTGGATATTGCCCCAAGGGGGCAAAAATCTGATCTTTGGCAGGTGAAAAAAGTCTTAGCTATCGCCGTGGTTTGTGGTCTTTTAAAGGGGTACATATACAAACAGCTCTACAGTATTCCCGTGGCATTAAAATGTCATGGGAGGGAAGGACAATTATGGGGAAAAAATGTCTGAAGTCTCCTCAGGGGAGAGAAAACGGGGGGGCGGGGTGGAATAAAGTAGAAAAACAATTACTGTGCAAGCAAGCCCCACTCAGGCTAAGCTGTAAATCTATTTTGGATGAACCGTGTCAGGTTATGAAATACAACAATGCACATCACTTGGGGAGCCCTATGGAAAAAAGAACAGGGCAGAGAGAATGTCTCCTCAAGGACCCACACGCAGGGCCTCCCTTCTACTTAGGAAGAGAAGAGAAAGTGGCGGAGACTGGACCCCGGCTAATGAATAGCCTGCTTGGAGGCCGCTTGTGAGCTGAGGCCCCCAGTCTGGGGCCTGCAGCCAAAGTGAGACCTTGCCCTGTCCCTGAACCCCTGCCTCCCAGGTAACGGAATGGGTCCTCACACCTCTGAGGGCCACTAGACTCTTCTGAATCAAACTGTGGACTCTAAAGCTTTTTGCAGTAATTAAAGGAGAGGAGTACAAGAGGCTCAGGGCAGGCCTGGCACCTGTATTAGCAAAATTTTAAACCTTTGGTCTCAGGGAGGGAACATCCTGGCTGAATGGACATTTCTAAAGAGGCCAGAAAACCTGTTTCCAGGGTTAGAGGAGACCTTCCACGGTGACGGCCCTCCAGATCCCTTCTGCCACATAGTCTCAAGTATCCCAGGGAAATGTGCAAGCAGGGGAAGAAGAAACAGAAGCAATCACTCTTGGGGGTTTTGCAACCCAGTGTCTCCTTAATTTTACACAAACGTCCTTATGCTCTATTTAAAAAAAAAAAAAGTGTTGTTTTTAAAACTTTTTCTGTGGAACTGGAGTGATATAACCAGTGTCTTCAACCTCAACCCCGTTGTCCCCACTTGGGGAGAGCTGACTTGAGTCCTTCTAAAAAGAAAGAAAAATGGCACTTGGCACGGGAGTAAAGCCTAGGGTCTCTATCATTGGGATGTCAGCCTAGCATGAGCCTACACCAGCTGGCTCTGAAGATTTTGATCTGGAATTTGGATGTCGTTGTTTCCTTCCCCCAAAGATACACCCGCCCCCATATATACAAAACTGTGCAAGGTGACCACAGTCAGCAAACAGGAGAAACTTTTTTTCTTTTTTTTTTTTTTAGTGCTCATGGGGGCTTGAGGAGATGTTGGTGTGGCAGGAGGCCTGCAGAGTGAGCACGTATTTGTGGAGCCAGTTTGGGGTACATGCTCTGAGGTGGGGGAGGAGTGTGTGGGTGTGGATGTGGGGGCTGTGACAGGATAAACTTCAAACTGCTTGCATTTAAAATATATATATATATGTTCCATGTGTTTTCAAACAAAGTACTGTAATGGGTCTAATTGTTAAGCTGAAACGTTACCATAAATACCCTCTAAAGTGTCCCAAAAGTCTGGAAACGAGAAAGAATATATGTGCGGCATTTTTCAGATTAACCGTGGATCCGTTGATTAAAGGTTAGAAGCACATTACTGGGGAAGAATATCTGACCCAGAGGCTGAAGAAAAGCAAACTGAGCATAGTATTATAAAATGCAAACCGACGTACTACTTAAAAATAAGTTTATCCTGGTTCCTGATTTGGAGGAATCCCTCTCTATTACACGCAAACTGTAAGATCCAGAATTTCCTGAGGGCTTTCTGTATGTGGAATCCTATATTAGGTGCTTTGTCTATGTTATTTAATCTTTGCACAAGAACCTATGAGGAGGTTCAGTGATAATAGCCTACCCAGTGGATTAAGAAACTGAGGGTCAAACGAAGAGGGGGTGGTAAACTTACATGCCAACAGAGATGATGTAAATGATTAAAATAATAAAGGACACTGCCCTGTAAAAAATGATCAGTTCAAGCCAGTTGTTGCTGGGTAGGAATTCAGGCCCAGTACTGCCCAATCGATCGATTTTTCCAGAGAAGCCAGAACTCTGGATTCGTGCCGAATCTTCAGATTTTCAGATGTTGGTAACTAATTACATTTTCTATTAACTCTGTGTTGGCCATGCCAAACAGATTTGTGAAGCCGGCCCAGCGGCAGGCCTCTAGTTTGCAACCTTGCAATTGAAGTAACTTGAAGTTTCTCCCACCTGGGAAACAAGAGGACAAAGGAGAACCCAACTCAAAATCGTTGTTTTCTCTTAGGACACGACAGACAGACGTAGCAGCACTGGCTTAAATGCAATTTTGTTTAAATGACTCAACTTCTTAAAGCCCCTCGGTCTACGGAAGTGGGAGCTGGAGGAGGCTCTAGGAGATGAGCAAGCAGCAGGAAGGACTCTTATTGGGCCATACTGAGCAGGGGGGTGTGGCTGGAATTTTAGCTGTTAAAATCTTCACAGAATACAGACATTCCAAAGGCTATCTCAGGTCCACCTTCTGGATTTAATACCAGCAAAAAGAAAAACAACAACAGCAGCAACAACAACAACAACAACAACCCCAGGAAGCTCCTTACCTCATCTCCCCCCCTCCCCAAGACAATCTAACTTGAAGCCGAATCTGCAACTTCCAAATGCACAAGACCTCTCTGAGTCTCTCATTTAAAGAGGATCCTTGACACATACCTTCTTCAGTAGGAGTGTACTTCCCACAATATTTACAGGGGCCAAGGTTTTTGTTCAACCGTGTCCTGGTGTTACAGAGCCCCCAAACCTAAACAAGACACCTGCTATCACCCTATCACTAGTTTCAAAAGACTGACGGTGGCATTTAAAATGGGATTAACGTTTCCCTCGGTTTTCCACTCCTGACTGTGTAAAAGGTTCTCCTGGAGCAGCTGAGCCGGCTTGCCTTATGGAGAACTAAAGAGCACCACGCATGCACGCACACATAAGCAGCCATTTCTATAAATGCCCGAGAAAAATCACTCAGCTGAATGGTTCAGAACTCCAGGAATCTTTTTTCTAAGACAGAAAGACTCCGGGAGCTCCCACAGAAACCCTGCAGGCCTCCCGGGCCGCCCGACCAGGCAGCTCCCTGAAGGAGAAAGTGCCTTTGCTCAAGGTGGCAGTGACTGTCATTGTGAGCCACTGAACTCGGGGAACATGGCTGACAAGGCCAGGCCCGCCCAACAGCTGCGGGTGAGTAACACCCTCGGGTTAATACACCCCGGCTTCACCCCCGGGGGAGTCACGCTAAAGGTCAAATCCCCCAATTCGGGCACACATCTGCCTTCCGACGGCCTTACAGATGCAAACTTCCAGCTCTGCTGTTCGAGGGCAGCTTTAGATGACACCCCCAAACAGAACCTGACTGTGCATTAACCACGCAGGGAACTCCATTGCAGTCCTGGGCCAGCAGGCGCCTCCACAAGAAGCACCGTCCAAAGGAAATAAAATCCGAAATGCAGTTACGTGGCCTTGCTTTTCAAAAGCAAAAGCAAACCAAACCAACCAATGATCATTTTAAAACCACAGGCCCCGGGCCTCATCTTAAAAGTACCTACAATCACACCCCAAAAAGACAATACTTGGCTAAGGAACTCCAACGGCCTCCTCAATACGGTGTCAGAGGGTCGAAGGACAGTAAGTTCCATGAAAGGGTCAGGTCCTGCGCTTATCAGAATAGCAGTTGTAGAAGAGCCTTACTAAAGATGGTGAGATAGCAGGGCCCAGCCCTTTCCAACTTTTTCTCAGTTACGTTAAACAGAACCAACAGAATTGGCTGACCAAGGTCTCTGTAAGCCTCCAAAGCCCGTTTTTATACTGCATATGTCTTCCTGGCCACATTCCTTGGGCCAACGCTGGCCTTTTGGTCTCCCTGGGAAAGACCCTTCCAGGAGGTCTCCAGGCCCACGTTCTCTACTGAGCCTTGACCTCAGGCAAGGACCACACCTCCCCGCTAACTATTCAGGGCAGAGGGTGCCACCAATCATGTGTGTGTGTGTGTGTGTGGCGGGGGGGGGGGGGGGGGGGAAGGGCGGGGGGAATCAGCCTTGGAATCGCATTAAAAAGGCTAACTAGTCATGAAGTTAACCCACCAACCATCACTTGATCAAATTCCTCTGCCGCCTGAACCAGTGTTATTTTAGACCTCCCTGGGGACTCTTGGCCAAATTTAAAACCACCTTGGCAAGCCCTGAAAAGTAGCAAGCATACAGCTAAATGAGTCCTTAGTCATCCCTAAAAGGTTCCACGTGAGGTGTGCCGCTTCTCCCCAGGCTTTGGCCATTTCGCTGCAATCCCTCAAGAGAATCAGATAAAAGATACGCCGTCTGACCTCCCCAATGCAGCACCTGCCCAGGTGGGGTGGCCCCACGGTCGCGGGGTGCGGGAGTCCTGGGGGCGGGGCGGGCCGGGGTGGGGGGGTGCGGCACCACTCCCCGCGCAGCCACGCACGGGGGCTGGCACTCCGCGCTCACTCTGCCTGCCAGGTTCATGCTCTCCATGGCTTCTAGGGACTGGAGACAATTAAGGCGAGACGGAGCGTTCCGTCTCTACACGGCTCAATCATTAAAAGAGTTAAACCAGCATCTTATCCAAAATGTTGGCACCCCTGAGGCCGAGCGTGGTGTCCTTAACGCCCAGAAGGACTGCCCGGCCAAAGGTTAACTAACCCCAGAGCTCGGTGGGGGAGGGAGACGCCGCTAACCTGTATGCACTCTGTAATGGGCTTTGAGATGGGAGGATTTTCCATAGACTTTCCCACAGCCACTGTAGGGGCACTTGTGCCTCTTTTCGGAGGCGTGTTTCCCCTTCGCAGCCACTCCAGGGTGGAGGAGGGAGAGCGGGCTGGGCGCGCTGCCAGGATCCTGTCTCTCCTCCGGGCTGTGAGAAGGACTCGACCCAGATTCGGTGGTCACGTCGCTGTCGGATCCCATATCCTCATCCGGACTCTCCAGACTGTCGCTGCACACCGAGGGGGTCTGGATGGGTCGGTACTTGTTCAGGTCCAGCAAGCTCTTGGCGATGGTGACCAGCGTGCAGTAATCCTTCCAGGTGTCCCCCGGGTCACCGTGCTCCTTGGTCACCTCGCGCTCAGGTAGTCGCAGTCGCTCGGCGTCCGGAGCGCCCCCATGCTCCGGCACCGCAGCGCGGTTCGAAATAGAAACCAGACACTGGGCAGCCACGAAGTCCATGTAGGCGGCCGCGGACATGGTGCGGGCGACGGCAGCCCCGGCGGCGCGGCCAAACTTGGCGGTGGCTGCGGAGGTTCGGCTCGCCCTGCCCTGGCCTCGGACGACGAGCGCGGCGCGGCGCGGCGCGGCGGCCAAGGGGGCGGGGGCGCGGGGCGCTTCCGACTCGCAGGAGCGCGAGGCGACCTCAGCCCCTCATCTTTACGTAACCGGCAGCGCCTCCGCACGCAGCATCCACGGCCCCGGGCTCCGCCGCTCGCCGCCGCCCGCGCCCGCGCCCGGCGCGATCCCCCCGACGGGCGCGCCGGCCGCTCCGAGCCGGCTCCCTTGGAAAGACGCCACACGTGGCGGCCGCAAGTTTATTCGCTTGAAAACGCCCCCGAGGCGCTGGGAGAGGAAACGGCAAGAGAGGTACACGCCCTCGGCCGCCTCTCCGTCGAGCCGAAGCCCCAGGACGTTCACCCGACCACCCCGACGCGGGTGGCGAGGGCCGGACCGAGCGCCAGCTCTAAGAGACACTTTTCCCCCAGCCCACCGACGCCGTCTGAGCCCCTGCTTTCGCCGGTCCGCACCGTTCCGGCATTCCCTTGCTCAGTAACAATTTCGCAGAATCCCATCACGTCACGATCCAAACCCCCTCCAATTGGCCAGTGGGGAGGGTGATTCAACTCTGTTTACTTTCCCCCCCTGCCAGTCGGAACGGCCTCTCGGTGGAGAGGTGCGTCTAGAACCGGGGCGCGCGGCCAATCCGACTGTTCCGTTTCGCTGCCTCGTGCTACCCCTACGGCCTCGAACGCTGACACTTAAAAGGGTAACAGCCGGGAGGCTGGAAGGGAGTCGCGGCTCATCCTCGGGAGCGCCTCTCGGTCCGGCGGCCGCCCCGGGCCTCCTGGCTCGCGTTCCCGCCCGCGGAGCCGCGGGGACACACCTTCCCCAGTCACTCGCGTTCGTTCTCGTGACAAAAGAAAACTTCAGGTTCGGTTTTCCAGCTTGCAAACAGTTAAGTGACTTCCTGCAAACGCTAGAGTCCCAGCAACCAGCCTTCCAATCAAAAGTAAGTTGGTTGATGTCACTGACATTGGCCCAGCCAATCAGAAGGGCGTTCCGAAAGCAAGCGCTCCACATTTGTAAACGCCAAGAGCTGTAGTGAAACTGGGCACATCCTTGTGTTCTGTGTGGCTGGTAGTAAAAGTGACATATGTATGGAAGGGCAGGGGTGATGAGTAAATAAAATGCGAGTCAATACCTTAAGAAAAAAACAAACCTAAACTGAATATGTCAGGCCAAGTTGCCCAAGAATAAACACAAATGAGAAAGCATCATTTCATTTTTTTTTTTCAGTTTGGGGATGCAGCATACTTCGGGGCAGATTTTTAATAATCCTTCTATCTAGTGCATTGACTATGACTAATTCATCAGAAAAATGTAGAGCTGATAAAAGTTCCTATTAAACCAGACTTTTTTAATGGCTCACTATTCCTACAGGGAAACACCCCATCTCTGCTTCTGTGATAACTTTTCATTCCTCTCCTTCCCTAGTGCAATTTATTCTAGGCAAGTTATTTTAGTTCTGTTTTGAAGCTACTGTAACCCACCTTCAATTAAGTGGAGACAAAAATTTGTATGATTTTTTATTTTATTTTTTTACACTTTAACAAACATAATTACTTATTTTTATTTTTTTAAGAGATTTTATTTATTTATTTGACACAGAGAGAGACAGCGAGAGAGGGAGCACAAGCAGGGGGAGTGGGAGAAGGAGAAGCAGGCTTCCCGCTGAGCAGGGAGCCCGATACGGGGCTTGATCCCAGGACCCTGGGATCATGACCTGAGCCGAAGGCAGACGCTTAACCAACGGAGCCACCCAGGCACCCCAACAAACATAATTTTTAAAAAAGAGAGAATGACTGATAAAAGGTTAATTCTTCTGGAAGATGTAACAATTCAGGATAGGCATATGCATATTAATAGGCACAAATATATAAAGCAAACATTCATGAAAATAAAAAGAAAATAAACAAATGCAAAATTTGTATGATTTTTAAAAAGACACCATTTTCTTTCCACTGACCCCCTGGATGGATTTCAGGGCTTGTTTCTCTTCCCTTATTTTACAGATGTGAAGACTGAGACACAGAGACGTGACTTATCTATCTTATCAGGTAGATAGTGACAGAGCTCAATTCAAACCATAAATCTAATGATTCCAAGCCCTTTGGGCTTTACAACAACCAAACTCTTCGATTTTGTGAAATATTAACAGTGCTAAACAGATTCTTAAGAACTGGAACAAGCCAGAGATCCTTAGCTATTGAACATTGTGGCATTATTTGATCAATGATTAGCATGGGTCTTGGAGTCTGATTAACTCATTTTGTCTCTCCCTCTGAATGAATGATGGGTTGTTTTCCAACATGATAGCTGAGAAAAGAATCTAGGGCTAATGTCTCTTGCGAACGGTGGACACAATTGGTTAAAAATACATTGATTTTCCTAATTGGGTGTGAGAGGTACCTACCTCTATGTGATGCAGACCCGCTGAGGTCCAGCCATGGCCCCCACTGGCTGTTAGCCTTTGGTTAAGGTTTGGGAAAGTTACACCAATTTCCTGGTCTTTAGAGAGGTCTTTAGAGTTCCAAATGAGCCCTCTCAGTTTGAAGGCCAGTATAGTTTATTTTGACTTTGCCTTTGAAGTGGTACAGGAAGATATAGCAGTAGGTTGACTATATGGAAAAGCGAAGTATGGAAAAGGGGTGGCGGTCAACTGAGAATATTATTATTGCCATCACCATCATGGGAAAGTAGGTACAACATGGTATGTAAAAGTGAAGCCGTCTTAAAGTTCTTGTATTCCTTAATTTTAGAAAAGAATTCACTGAAGCACAGGGGAGTTTGCCTACTTCGTAATTTTTCTGGGACAAACTCTGTCCCCACGGATACATGATCATTTAGAAATTGCACCTTTTCTTGCTTCTTTAAGGTCCAGCACAAATACCAATGGGATCTCTCCAGGGTCTCTATGATCACCTCCTGCACAGTCTCTTGAACTTGCATTGCAACGGGCATTGCACTGGGCACCTCCAGATTGCCCTAGAGTTAATTAACATTGGGGTATTCTAGAAAAGAAGGGAAGTCTGTATCTTTCCTTGGACATTGTAATCCAGGAACTTGAATGAATCAATCATCATAGGTTTTTTTAAAAAATATAAACTTTCCCCTCCCTTGCTTCTTGCCCTCTTCTCTTTTATTAATTACCTTTAATTTAATTTTGTTTGGACTGGACATAAAAACCCTGAATTCTTCCAACTCATTCATTTCACAGTTATAGAAGAAAGTAATAAAAGAAAACCGAGATTTCATGCACACGAGTTTCTCTCACATATTTATAAGTGTATCTGCTGCTTGACTTGATTTAGAATAGCTTTTTAAACCCAGAAATTCTAGAACTATAGAATACCTTCCTCTTTATCTCTTTTGCCACTCATTCCTTCTCCAGATACTTATGTTTCAGTCAGGGAGCTAGGCCTGGGGGAGTACAGAAATGAAAAGACAGTCTATCCTCGATGAGACTTATATGTTAAAAACAAATTATATATACCACAAAATAACATATATCACAAGTAATAATTGCTACATCAGGATTTTGTGTGTGTGTAACAACAAGCTCCCCTTGCTCTATTGGGATGTGTGTTATAATAGTTCTTTGATTAAAATCAGCTTACACTGTTTTGCCAGCATGTAGTTGTCCCAATTAAATTCTGGCAACATAAATTATCCCAAATTAATATGAATCATTCCTAATTACAATGAATAATTTACCAGTAAAGTATATATTATGCCACATAAATGTGAGAGGTCTGTTTTCCCCCAATTTATGTAAATACACATTTCAAATCCACACAAACCAACTGGGAGGAGCATGGGAATTCAGACTGTAACTGTGCTTCTAGATTATGTGTTTTCCTCTCTAAATTCTGTCTAAGGCTTGGCTTTATTATCCAAGTTCTCAAGAACAACCGTTTATGGGCCTGTAGCTAGAAGTCTTATTTTCTGTGCATCCTAAAATAATTATAATTATCACCTCTAGAAGAGGTAGTGCCTTCCCCGAGCTGATTCTTTGAGCATGTGTTTAGGCCAGCTTGGGGCAGAGAAGGGGCCTCCTGGGCCTGAGACGAGCAGCATGACCCTAGGCACCCTCTTAGAGTTATTTCCTTATCTGCGAATTAAGGGCATTAGATGAATACATCTCCCTAGTCCCTTACAAACTCCAAATACTCTTGGGATTCCCCCCCACCCCTCACCCCCAAAAAAATCATAGGGAAAAAAACTGAGCAAGACTTGGGTTCTAAACACCATCTCATCTGCTGTGCATCTATCTACAAACAGGTCTTTATGGCAATGAAGGTCAGAATGTCTTAAATCAATATTTAAGGATAGCAGGCACAATATAAACTTGTCCGGAATCCCTTAAATCCTTTCTTCCTTAATTTCATAGTCTTGCTTTTTCTCTCTTCAAGCTACCTTGTGCAAATCTTCCACCCTAGTCCCAGCAGAGGTATCTCCAGGCGAATGCAGCCCATTCCCAGTCCCCTTCCCTGGAGATTGTAATCCAAACTGAACCCTGCGCAGAGTTTCCCCAACTCTCTGGATGGAGCTTACCACCTGGGGCTTAATCTAAAAAACTTATTGCCCAATCTCATCTTTGCCCAAGACCCGGAGAGGTTTAGGTTAGAACTCTGGCTTTTCTCACTCTTTCCTGCTGGGAGGCGTGGACGGTGCTGGGCAGAGCTGCCAGCCTCCAGGCGGGAAGGAAGGAGGAGAACAGATGGCCCACTGGGGGTAGGGGATCACGTGTCGGACCTCACTCTGGGCTGGATCCAGACTTCTTTCAGGACCCAGGTCCTTCGGCTTCAGCGAGTCCACCTAGGCACACAGCATATATCTGGGGGCAAAGTAGCGTTCACTTTAGTGAAAGCTGGGGAGTTAGGGGAAAGTGGTGAGTGTGGGGAGGAGGCGGCGGGCCGAAGGGATCGGGGCTCCCAGCAAAGGCAGTGTTCTGGATTTGAAATACAATCAGGTAAAGACCTATCTGCCAAAACGCCCGTGGCCATAACGTCAGTTAACACGCAGGGCCTGCGGGGGGGGGGGGGGGCCTCCGGCCGGCGCGAAAACTTGCACAACGCCCTACTTTGCTCTCGCTGCACTTAGCAGCCTTCCGCAAAAACTCCAGGCCTCTCCTTTGCCGAGCAGAAAGGCCACACGTTCATGCATATGCAGGAGGATAAGTTTAGCTAGCAGCCCCCCGCGCGCGGAGAGGCCCTGCGCGGCGCACCGTGCATCACCCGCGCTCGGGGGCGGGCGCTCAGCTCCCGCCGCCGACTGGCGGGCGGCGCGCCCCGGCCTGGCATCGCCCTTTTAAAAAGTCTTCCGCAGGCGGCCGCCGCAGCAGCAGCCGGAGGAGCCGAGTTCATCTGAGGACAGCCCCAGTTCTCAGAAATCCCTTCCCTGCTGGAACATCAAGCTCCCTTTACTGCAGTTGAACAAACTGCCCTAGATTGGGGGATGAGGAACCCGCCCCAAACTCGTGCAAGGAGCTCCGGGCGCCCGCGCCCACGTGAGCTAACCTTGAAATTAGCCCCCGCACCCCGGCGGGAGGTGGGGAAGGCTGGCGGGGGTGAGAGTGGGCGGGGGCCGGCTGTTGGCCCCTCGAGGCCCGAGCCCCAGGGTTTGCGTCCTCCGCTGGCGTGTACCGCCCCCACCACCCTGTTTCATAACTCTATTGGGTTGCTTTTTTTTTTTCTTTTTAACTCTTCGGAGTCGCATAGGGGTGTGTGCGTGTGCGTGTGCGTTGGCGGGGGTTGGGGAGTGGATAGAGGCACCTTCCCCATCCCCCGCGCCCGCGAAGAGGAGGAACACCTGCCCTGCGGTCTCCCCTGGGATCACTGCGGAGTAGGGTGTCGGGATGACATCAGCTTCTAAACAT